TGGTGTGGCCACCCCCCCCCGGGGGGGGGGGTTTCTCTCTCTCTCTCTCTCTCTCTCTCTCTCTCTCTGTCTGTCTTTCTGGTGAGCACATGTGCCCTATAGCAAAAAACCTCTCCAAAAAAAAAAAAAGTCTTTTCCCTCAATTTGTTTGTTATTTTTTTCACCCAAGTTCCTAGAATGTTGGGATCTGGGGGATACTTCAAAATTATTTATTGGGACCCTCTTTTTACAAATCAAGAGACTTATTTAAGAATGTCCAAAGCACAGTCAGAGAATCACTGATATTAGGAGTTTGGAGCCCTGGTTTTATTGTTCTTCTGGGCTTTAGAAGGCCTTCTCGGTCCTCCTAGAAGCCAAAAGCCAGGGCAGGAGGGCAAAGTCTGTCCTTCTCTTTCTTGACCCCCACAATATCCTCTACTGTGAAGAACAGTGTTCAGTCATGCTGGCACCATGGAATCATATCTCCGTCTGCCTCCTTGACCTTTACAGCCTCAGTGTAGTGAGAGGAGAACAGGCTAGTCAGGCACACTCTGAGACCCAAAACCAAGTGAACCTTTCCAAGGGCCTGTTTCACCAGGGCTGTTAAAAAGCCGAATCCAGAGTTCCACTCAGATCTGAATATCTAGAATCTACATTTTAACAAACTCACTCCCTAGGTTATTTTTTTATAATATTGATGAAGATTTGAATATGCCTGAATTAATATTTTTTCTTTTTATTATTCATCTTTTACCCCATTTTATTTTGAAAGTTCTTAAGCCCAGAGAATAGTCAAAAGAATGCTATTATGAACACCAGTATACCCTTCCCTAGTGTTTCTGATTGCCAATACTTTGCTACTATTCCTTTGAAAATGTCAGACCTCATGTTTTTTATATTTATTTAATTCAATAGAGAACTTTATGCTTTTCTTTTGTCAGGTGTTTCTTCCCCTTTCACCTCACACCACCCTCCGCCAGTTACTCTCTACCATTCCTTTCCTCTCCTTCTAGCATTTACACCCTTTCTCTCTACCATCACATCTTCAGAGCTCTCAACCTGCATTCAGTACAAATTGAATGGGGATATACAATGTGTATCTTTCAAAATCTAGTGTAAGATCTGGTAGCATTCTCCCATTAAGCCATCTGGATCTAGTGCTTTTGTTATTTCCTTCATCTTTATTTCTCCCAGGGACATTATTCATTTAAGCTATTCATTTGTCTACTAGAGTTAGTTTTGGTAAGATGCATTTTTCTAGGAAATATTCTTATATCTAGTCTTCAAATTTATTTTTCATTGAGTTGTACTAAGTAGTTGCTTGAAAATTTTAAAAAATTTTCTTTCAAATCAATCATATTCTTTCTTATTGTTGTAATTTCTTGATTTAAAAAATTTGTGTTGTCTTGAGTAGGTTAACTAGTGCTGGTCTTATATAAATTTTTCTCAAGAAAGCATATTTTAGTTTGTTTATAGTTCTACTTTTTCTGTTTTATACCTCATGTCTTTCTACCTTTATTTGTATTATATATTTCTTTATTCTTGTTTATTTTGTTGATTCATCTCTAGCTTTTTAGAGTAAGACCTTAAATTATTTATTTTTATTAATTTAAGTATATAAAGCTTAATTTCGTTGTGACCTGAAAGTGGACTTGAGATGGAAAAATTTATTACTAAAATTGTGGGTAATTGCTAGTGAAGTTGAAAGGTAGAGTTTACATGTTGAATAACTAAAACTGAAACAAATAGAAAAGTTTCCAAGAAGATTTATTAACTGAATCTAGGCTAATTCCTTTTTATGCCATACTGTTTTGGTATTTTAATGTGTTTATTTATTAATACAAACATTCATGGATTCTACACTTAGATAAGTCTGTTTAAGGATCATGTGTCAAATTATTTTTTTAACTTTTGTTTATTATTATTATTATTTGCTATAGGGCATGTGTGCTCACCAGAGAGAGAGAGAGGGAAAGTGAGAGGGCAAGCTGCCAGATATAGCACTTGAACCATGGTGAGCCATGTGGGAGTCCAGCACCTCAACCACGATGCCATGTGTTGGCCCCTTAGAAAGATGATTTAATGAAGTATCTCTCATTACAGAAATGCATTGTCTATGGATCTAGGCTAATTCCTTTTTATGCCATACTGTTTTGGTATTTTAATGTGTTTATTTATTAATACAAACATTCATGGATTCTACACTTAGATAAGTCTGTTTAAGGATCATGTGTCAAATTATTTTTTCAACTTTTGTTTATTATTATTATTATTTGCTATAGGGCATGTGTGCTCACCAGAGAGAGAGAGAGAAAGTGAGAGGGCAAGCTGCCAGATATAGCACTTGAACCATGGTGAGCCATGTGGGAGTCCAGCACCTCAACCACGATGCCATGTGTTGGCCCCTTAGAAAGATGATTTAATGAAGTATCTCTCATTACAGAAATGCATTGTCTATGGAGGGAGTTATTTTATACCAGCCATTCTCCTTTCGGTTAAGCTAGGGTCTTTTGGGTTTCCTCCATTTTCTTTGGATGACATAATAAAACTGTATTGTGCTCCCTCTCATGCAGGGCAGCCACTGACCACAATGTGGATAATACAACAGAAATATTCAGGGAGTGGTTGAAAAATGTACAGAGACTGTATCACTACGTGGAGTGGAGGCCTATGGATGAACCAGAGTAAGTAGCAAGGGCAAATTTTCCAAACACATCATTTACCCTTCCTCTTTCACCAGTCGTTTAGCAATTCAGATTCCAGTCTTAGAGGCACATGAGACTTTCCACTGTCTTCCACCTCTGTATCTAAGTGAGTTACAAAGACCCGCTATTTCTGTCTTTGACAGATCTTCATTAGTTCCTTCTTCCTTTTTATTCCTGCAGCTACCATCCAAGTCCTGGTTTTCATCAGTTCACAAATAAATGACCACAGCAGCATATATTTTTGATTATTTATATTTATATTATGTTAATATTATTTATTCTGATGTTTGTTTGTTTGGTTTTTGTTTTTGCTATAGGACTTGTGTGCTCATCAAGAGATAGAGTTAGAGACCAACAGGGAAAGTGAAAAATCACCCTCTGGGAGGGATGGCCATACCACAATCCCTTCTCCTCCGGTTTCCTTCTGCGATTTTGGCCACATATGCAAACACACCCAGTGGACATGATTTTTCAAACTGCTGGGCCACCCCCCAGGGGGGGATGGTCATGCCGCAATCCCTTCTCCTCCATTCTCCTCTTGGGATCTTGGGCACGCACGCACACGCGCCCGGCGTGAGATTTAAGCCACCGGGTCCGAGACGCGAACCGCGGTCGACTACGTGGGAGTCCAGCGACACAGACATTACGCTAACTGCTGGTTCCCTAAAGTTTTATTCTTGAGAGATGGTAGTGGTAAGTTTATGTACTTGCTGCATACACCCTGCTCTTTTCACTTATCACACCGTGGTAATCATTCCAGAGCAATAGTTAGGGAGAGTTTTCATTCTTTTTAACTGTGTAGAATCCATAGTACGGATGTACTATTTAATCAGTCTCCTCCTAGTGGGCAGTTAGGTTATTCCCATTCTTAACCATAGCAATTTTTTAGTTGCTTTTATCTCCAAGTCATCCTACAAACCACACTGTCAAATCCAGCTTCCTAAAGCAAATGGTTTCATTTTTCTATTTAAAGGGCTCCAATGGCTCTCTAGTACCTATCGAACGAAATTCAAATACCTTAGGCTTATATTTAAAAGATCCTATAAACCTAGAAACCATATTTGGTACTTCTGTCTGCGAGAAAATCTGCTTTATTCATGTTTTTTTTTTTTAATTTAATTTTCAAACCCCACGCTGTTGCTGATGTGGATCCTAGAAGACCCTTTCCTTCTTTGTTACCAACTCTTATCCTAGTTGTACCTGTTTCTAGAAGCTACTTCCTAAACATTCCAGTTGTAAATATCTACCTTTCTCTCAATAATTACACTGCCTGTTTTCTATTATGTTGTCAGGAAAGTCATGATGTATTTTTTTCTATGTTTTTCTATCCAAAAATGCATCATGACTTTTCCAACATTACACTTTTTTTTTTTTAGAGGTTTTCGCTTTAGGGCACGTGCGCTCGCCAGACAGACAGAGAGAGACATAGAGAAAGAAAGCGAGAAATCACTCCCCCAGAGGGGATGGCCACGCTGCAATCCCTTCTCCTCCATTCTCCTCTTGGGATCTTGGGCACACACGCACATGCGCCCAGCGTGAGTTTTAAGCCACTGGGTCTGGGACGCGAACCACGGTCGACTACATGGGAGTCCAGCGACATAGCCATTACGCTAACTGCTGGTTCCCAGCCAACATTATACATTTGACACAATTCACGTAACTAACATTGTTATTTAACTATATAATTTACGTGTTCTTTTCTAGATAAATTGTAGGCTCTTGGACAGGGAGTAGAAGATAGAAATACCTTATATTTCCCTTCAGTGTTATATTCTGGACAGACACTAACTTAATACTTGTTAGATGAACAAATGAGTAAGATCAAGAGTAAAGGGATTTAGAACTTACTATTGTAAATGTTCCCAAGAGTACTACAATTCTGCCATAAGGAATTGTAAAAGTAGGATGAATAAGTGAATTTCTGCCCAGGATAAATTATTTCTGGAAGCCAGATTTGTATTATAATAATAAGTACAATTCCAAATAAATTTCTAATCTTCTAATCTCTCTATAATACTTTTATTCTACATATATAATATATATACACACAAATATTTTTAAAAGTCCAAGCATATGGCTTATCTATAAAACAAAATTTACAATTGAGTTTGAATGCTATCAAAAACTGTGAACAATTTTGAAGTTCCTTATGACGGAATTTGACCTAGTTTTGAAAAAATAGCACACAGAGACTTTGTGTTCCTACCTTGCATCTTGGTAATGTTCTCTGTAGCCAGGCTTTGACTAAGTATTTTTTTTTTAAACTTTATTTTTAATGTGACCAGAGAGGGACAGAACGAGAGAGAGAGAGAAAGTGAGAAAGCAAGCCACCGTGTCCAAGATTTGAACCTCAGTCGACTATGTGGGAGTACAACACCCTTAAGCTTCATGCTCCCTGTTAGCCCTAAGTATTTTATATGCCACAGTGTGAAAAATATAGAGAAGGTATTGCTTCTTGGCAATATATTCAGAAAAACAGGAATTCTACTGATTTACATTGAAGCAATGATTGCGGAAGACATTCCAGAGAATCCCTGTGCTGTACAGACTTTCATTAACTTTATTTGAATAGTTATGGGGTTATGTATTGTTTTATTGTATTTTATTTTTTTAGGTTTTTGCCATAGGATGTGTGTACTCACTGGAGAGAGACAGAGAGTGAGAAAGTGAAAATCACCCTTCAGGGGATGGCCATGCTGCAGTCCCATCCCTTCCACTTTCCTCTCAGGACTCGACATACACAGGCATGCTCCTCACATGATTTTCAAGCTTCAGGGTCTGGGACCTGAACTATGGTTGGCCATCTGGAAATCCTGTGCCTTCACCACCACATCCCCTGCTGGCCCCATGGTATTATTGTTTTTGTGATTTTATTTTATTTTTTTCATTCACTAAAGCAAATACTGCCAGTGTTGCTAAAAGAACTTCAAGTGGTGGCCACTCTGGGGCTACTGAGGCAGCATCAATTTCCAAACCAGTCGGGAGCCCTGAGAAGGGTCCTGGCAGGTACATGAAGAGTACTGGCCTGGCTGTTTGGTAGATGTTGATTCAGACCCAATGACATTACACATCTGCTCCCTGGCCTCCCTTTTCCCAGGAGAGATCAATACATTAGGCTTTTTGGAATCTATTCCTGAGGCTTTAAGTGAATAAAACCTTTGCTTTTCTGGAAAACTCCTATTTTTACACTGTAATCTGTTCAAATTTATTTGATGGCAGGATGTATATAAAAAATTCTCTGAGAACATGAGATTTGGGCTACACTTCCTGGATTCAAGTCTCAATTGGGCCCTTTATTAACTATCAACAAACAAGTGACTTACCTGTTCTCCACTGACGTCCTCACCTGTGAAGTGGAGAGAATAGAGTACTTACCTCCTAAGGCTCGTGTTAGATCTCGCAGAAACAGTTCGGATAAAGATTTGCACAGAGTAAACAGTGTTACTGACGCTCCTGTTCTAGCTTCTTTGGTAACCTATAATATCGGGACCATGATAACAATGACAGCATCTACTTCTTGAGGTCGATGGGGAATTAAATAAGTTAGTACACAGAAACATTTAGGACAGAGCCTGGTACATGTAGGCACTCAATAATTATAAACTATTATTCTAGATCTTACCCTGATGAAATTGGACCAAAACACTGGCCGAGCTCTCGGTTTGCCCACGTGATGAAACTACGGCAGGCAGCCCTTCGAACTGCGAGGGAAAAATGGTCAGACTACATTCTGGTAAAAACAAATGTTTGATTTCTTGACAGCTTTTATCTAGAAACAAACAGAAGCTATGACCCTAGTGCAATCAAAACTACCTTTTGCTTAAGGACCACGCCCTCCATTTTTAAAATCAAGAATCCAGGGGAAAATTTGGTAATTTGATATCAAAATATCTGGATTTCACCTCAAATTCACTTCTGCCATGGATTTTCGGGGAATGAGTGAAGAAGGTCTGGACTTATTTGGTCTCTTATGTGAAAAGAATAAGAATCTCTGAATATTTTTAACTCCTGGACAATGCAGTATGTAGAGCAATAGATGTTGTCATAATAATTTCTTGGAAGAACTTTGGAGATATGAGAAAATAATTAGATTATAAAGAGATTCTGGCTAGCTCATGGCCTGGTAGTTACAGTGGCTGGGTCACCCATGGTCAGCTGGTTTGAGTCCTGCACCCAGTGGCTTGAGCACTTGGGCACGTATGTGTGCGAGTGCTCAAAATCTTATCTGAAGGAAAAGATGGAGAAGAGATTGTGGTATGACCATTCTCCATAGTGGGTGAGTGCTTTCTCTTCTCTCTCTACACTCTCTGTCACTCTGGATTTTTTTTTTTTTTAGTTTATAAAAAAGAAAGATTCAAATGAACAGTTCTGGAGCTCTTGCTCCTGAGTGACTGGGGAATGACATCTCTTGTTTGTCTTAATTGTTCCCAATTGTGCTGGATTCTCATGGAGAACATCTCTCATGAGGAAATTCCATCACTTTCCCTAGAACCTTGACAGTGGTCCAGAATAACGCTGGACTTACTGATTTGGAATCTTCAGGGCAAATGGGGGTGTGGTGGTTAAGGTGCTGGACTCTCACATGGTCAATCGTCATTTGAGTCCCAGACCTGGAGGCTCACTGTCTCTCTCCCTCTCCTTGTCTCTCTCTGAAGAGTGCACACATTGCATAACAAATTAAAAAATAATAATAATAAATAAAGTTAAATAGATAAATCTAAAAAAATGATTAGGAATTAATGTTCTATTCTGTCCTCCTCCTTGAGAGACCCATCTCAATGGGATAAGCAGCAAGGAGTTCAAGTCCCTTTTCCTTCATATGTTTCCTTCCTGTGTTATTCATGTGTGGTCCCCAAAATCCATTTACTTCTTTTGACAAACATTTTCCAATATGACACTAGAAATAATACCTATAAAGCAAAGCCAGTATCATTTCATTTCATTTGTGAACATTTGCTCTGTTAACTAAACTGTGATTCCTAAAGGAGTACGTAGGTCTGTTCTGAATCCTTCAACCATATCAAAAATCAGCCCAATAATTTATTACACACACGTTTTTTAAATTAAGAAATTTTTTTTCAGAGAGAGATTTTTGCTATAGGGCATATGTGCTTACCAGAGAGACAGAAAGCAAGAAATCACCCCCAGGGGGGATGGCCACACTGCAATTCCTTTTCCTCCATGCTCCTCTTGAGATCTTGGGCATGTGCACACACATGCCCGCTGTAAGGGTTAAACTGCTGGGTCCCGGACTCAAACTGCAGTTGACTATGTGAGAGTCCAGTGACATAACCATTATGCCATTTGCTGGTCCCTATGCACACCTTCAATACAAATAATTTCATAGAAGCTCCCAAATTGTACTGACAATTTTTTGGAAGAATTATTTGTTATTGTTATTTTTCAACTTGCTAACAAATTTTTAGAAGAATTATTTATTTAATTTTATTTGTTATTATTATTTTTCAACTTGCTATAGGGTACATGTGCTCACCAGAGAGACAGACAGAGAGGGGGAAAATGAGAAAGGAAGTCACCAGGTCTGAAACTTGAACCACAAGTGGCCTTGTGGGAGTCCAGTGCCTCAACCCCAACACCACCTCCCCACACCACCTGCTGGCCCTGTACTGACAATTTTTAACATCAGATAACTACTTAAATATCATTGAAGGACACAAATGTAGAATCACAAAATTTTGGGTAAACATACTGACTACATAAGAGTGAAAACTTCTAATTCTTTTTTTTTCCTTTTTGGAGAGGTTTTTTTGCTATAGGGCACGTGCGCTCGCCAGACAGACAGAGAGAGACATAGAGACAGAAAGCGAGAAATCACCCCCTGGGGGGATGGCCACACCACCATCCCTTCTCCTCCATTCTCCTCTCGGGATCTTGGGCACGCACGCACACGTGCCCGGCGTGAGTTTTAAGCCACAGGGTCCGGGATGCGAACCGCGGTCGACTACGTGGGAGTCCAGCGACATAGCCATTACGCTAACTGCTGGTTCCTGAAACTTCTATTCTTTTTTAAGAGTGAACACTTGTACCTTTTTTTTAATTGTGGCAAAATAAAAATAACATAAAATATTTCATTGTAGACATTTTTTAGATATATGGTTTAGTGTGTGTTTTTTAAATATATATGCTAGAATCTATTGTTGCACTGTTTCTCTAAATAAATCACTGTTAACATGGATTTCTGTTGAGAATAGGAAATTGCGTCACTGGTTAGCATCATTTTACATAATGTACTTCAAGTAAAAAGTCTTCTTGTAACATTAAAATAGCATGACTAATGGCTGTAAGGGACAGGAGGGGTGAGCGGTGGGTGAGATGGGCAAGGGGAAGAAACGTTTAACAAAGAATATAAAGTTCTTTA